ATACCTTTACATATAAATTGAAGTTTCGATAAATAACTTATAAACTCTAATTTTCAAAGTTCTTATTCTCTTCAAGTCTCTTTTGATTTTTTGTTCTTTAACGGATGCCAATTTGAGTTTTTGAATGTTTAAGAAGATTTATTTATAAAAAAACTCAAGAAACAAGATTTGTTAGAAATATAAGTGTATTATTTGTTATAATCAAAATAAGTGGAGCTATATTGAATCATAAGTGAACACAAGTAAATTGAAAACTTTTTCATACTTTTTAACCACACATTCTTCTAAAAATTAACATTCAAAACACTATTTTCCACAAAAAAATTGTTGTCAAACAAGGGTTTAGTTTCTTAACGTAGTTGTCTTTGGTCATAATCCATAAATATAAAGTCGAATGTTCTACGATAATGATAGATTTGGTGAAAAGTAACAATCATGCTACAAAAATATAATGGCTGACATAATTCTTGATATAATAGCATATTTTGTCATTGGATTGTTTAAAATACAGTCAATTTTTTCAATCAATTACTTCTTGCCAACACCTGTTATACCACTCTATCCGTTACCTACTTCCTAGCAAAATAGCATTATTCGAAACGTAAAGTAGTACATAGGGCACACCTACAATTTTGCACTGCACCGTATAACTCAATAATAATTCAGAGGCCCCCTAAAACAATTAATCTAAATGTCCAGGCTTAGTGATAACGTTGGTGATAGGATTTTAAAAATTATTGACGTGGCATTGTTGGAAAAATGAGGGAAGGAAGGATGGGAAAGGGGGGAAATAATGAACCCGGTCGACTTACTCCCCCAAATTGAAAAAGCAGAATAATGCAAAATTGAAAACCACTGCTCCCCTATTTCTAGCCCATCAACGCCTAGCAAATCTCACTCCGATGTCGTCAAATTCCATGTGAGCCCATCCACTCCTCATTACGCGTAGAGAAGAAGACTATCCAACTATCCAAGCTGAGTGACTTCTCAATATTCATGAGTAGCACGTATACTTGAAACATGAGTTATGTATTAGTTTATGTAAACATAAATCAAATTAAGTGGGGCAGAAAATATTTATATAAATTTTCATCTACACGTCTCTTCATAAACGTCCCATATTCTTTTTCAACAATTTAAAGCATCCCATGTAGACAAATTTGACTCTAAATCGTGCTAGGGTTGGAGGAGTAGGGTCTTGGATATGCCATTAAAGTGTAATTTATACTGCATTTAAAAAAAAAAAAAAGCTTCCAACTTAAGAAAGATTCTTGTTGATGTCAAATTTGTCCAGAAATCATACTCATTGCATAAACTTTGTCGAAGCCAAAATTAATTAATATTGCATGCCTGGAACTTCTAAGGATGTTTATGTTCTTCTGTATTCCTTGAAGTATATTATATTAATAAATGTTAAGATATTTGGGTTCAGACCAAATAGAAGCAGGAGGAAAAATAAGCCTCGGCGTGCTGCTGAAGTCGGTGTTGAGTGCAAATGAAGGTT